AACACATATTGACTATTTTTGAGGGGTCAAAAATAAGGTCAGTCAGTACAAAAATATTCATCAAAATTAGAGAATTAAAGATATCATCACGAAATGAACAAATCTGAGAGAGGTCCACGTGTAGTACCTAGATATGTAATATCAAAGCAATCAGACTTTCAGTTTTTAACAAGAAGTCGAAAATATCACTTTTTACCAAAAATGACAAAAATATTCATCAAAATTAGAGAATTGAAGATATCATCATGAAATGAACAAATCTAAGAGAGGCCTACCCAAAGTACATATACACCAAGTATCAAAGCATTCAGGCTTGTAGTTTTCAAGAAGAAGTCGAAAAAGTAAAACATTGACACAGACGATGGACGCCGACGACGGACAATCACTCATATGATAAGCTCCGCTCGACAAAGTCGACAGCGAAGATAAAAAATGAAAAGTTTACACGGACGACAGACAATCACTCATATGATTAGCCTTGCTTGACAAAGTCAACAGCGGAGCTAAAAAAAATGTCTGCACTATTATGCATAGCTATGACAATAGCCCATTTCATGGAAGCAAATAAACAATCAGTAAACGTAATAATTATTTCACATTTGACAAACGTATACAGACACACATTAGGAGACTATTAACAAACTTACCTGATACCTTTTCAGCAAGCACCATGCTCTTCCAAGAAAATTATCAAATCTTGGATCATCAAGGCAATGTAATTTATATAACTGTTCCTAAAAGTAACAAAGACACAAGTTCTTTATAATTACTGAGAAAGATTGCAACTGAATATCGTACTGTTTTATTGTATAAAAGTATTGAAATGTGTTCGAACAATAATTTTAAATCATCAACTGCCCTAAAAATATAACCACTACTGTAAAATACAATACTTTTAGCAGAAATAAATTTTCGCTGAAACGATTTTTTGGGTGTTTTGTATGTACAAGTCCATTTTCACTAATTCTTGATGAGATATATGTAAAGCTTATACTGAATTCAAGTCTAAATGACGACAAGTAACAAGCATACTTTTTTGACTTACTAATTTCTGGAAATGAGCTGAATTTACTTTACACACTTGGTCTTTGTATTTCAAACACGTCAACTCTCCTTCTACAGTATAGTCAACTCTTGGTAACCGTGGTGATGGAACAGCCAATTGCACTGCATAGCATGGTACTTTTCTGTGTTGTGGATCTCTATAATATGGCACATCTGAAGACAGAATACAAATTGTTTTTTTACACGACAATGTTTCAACAACTGACCAAGTACTATTCCACTCATGGTGAATGAAAAATGTAATTTGCAGTTCTTTTTGAGGCAAGTGTTTGGGTAAGCGCCAACATGTGATTTTTTGAGCTGAGTACCCAGCTTGTTGTAATTTTGCAGTATTTTATGTGGTATTTTCATCCTACCATAGTAGGAAACGTGAATTCTAAATATGGATTGACTACATGGATAAGCATCCTATAATAATAAAAAAACATGGCTGCCCCCAGGGTTTGTCCGGACACTACAAAGTGAAGTTCACTAAATCTGTTCTAAACGTTTTGGATTTCGGCATTTCCATGATGTATTCCTGGGAGGAAAAGATGTATAATAATAAGGTTACTACAAGGATACTGCGAAGTATGCACTCAGACAGTATGCGGTCCCACCGATCTCCGCTGCTCGTTAGTCGATACTCCTGATGTCTCGTCTTCGTGCATACTTTGCAGTATACTCGTAATAACCTCATATTATTATACACGGAACATGTAGTCTTTTTAATCATACAGTAAAATATGACCTCATAATCTACAAGAAATATTTTTACTCTGTGATCCGAACCTACTGTGAAATAATTTATTTTAGGTGGAATTAATTTTTGCTGAAAAGTGTTTTTGGGTGTTTTTGTATAAATTTTTTTTCGCTGATTTCTGACGAGTTGAATGTGAAATATAGGAAAAAGGTATATTCGCTGGATTTTATTTTCACTGAATCACTCCTTCAGCAAAAATAGCTAAAATTAATTCAAGGCGAAAATAAAGTATTTCACAGTGTTTATTTCTTAATATAACTATGCACATTAAAAACTTGACCATGCTGTGTTTCAATGTTCTTGAAACTGTTTATGATCACTGATCGGGAACTTGTATATTAGTGTTCCATAAGGCATAAGCTCGCCATACTGACGCTCGTCAAAATGCCAAGATGCCGTGGTATTGCAGAGATTGTCATGTCATAACATCTAATTATTGTATTCCGAGGTACAATTATTCAAACTAAGGTGAGTGGTCAAGTAGGAGAATAGACATACCGGCACTTCTCAAAGTGTGTAGACCATATTCTTACTACCCAGAATGCATGGAGTAGTAACTGACGAGCTGGGATAATTGGTGATACAGACACAGATAAATAAATTAAATTTTATCACCAAGTCCAGCATGCATAGTGAAATATAACTTACCAGTAATACCATGTTCTCTCAAAATCTCCCAATGTTTTTCACTAATTTTTTTAGCAGCATCACGTGACATCTGGTTCATTTTTTTGCAAATGCTCTCTACAGAGTGCTTAGCTGCATCTGTTAGATGTGGTCCACATTGTTCTTTCAGGTGTCCCAAACGCTCCTATCAGAGGTAAAAAAGAAATGTAAGACATGCATTGTATTTCCTGTATAAAAATTGCAACTCCAATAGAGGCATATTGTGTATATACATGTATCATTTTCATAAATCAGTATTATATAAGTGGTAAAGTAGATTTTATTTCCCCAAAGGTATAATACAAATGCAGTACAGAATAATAATGCCCCAAAACAATCCTGTAACTGAGTATGTAAGCTTCTGATAAATAATAATACAGATATACTTGCTCTATTGGTGGTACAAGCACTTGCGTAAATGACATGGGTGTTATATTTAAAAAAAAAATAGATCTACAATACAATACACATAAATGGTTTATGTATGCTTCTAATCAAGTAAATTATCTTTTTCAACACCAGACTTTTTTGCCCAAGTTTGACTGCACTTTTTTTTTATATTTTTCAATATTTCTGGAAAAGAACCCTATTTGTGGAGCTTAGAGACAAAATTTGTGTCAAATTTCCGTTTTTACTCAAACTTTTTTACTATTTTTGTTCCAATCTTCTGAAGACAGGACATGAATGTCACAGTCCCTGTTATTTAATTATAAAATACAACTTGACTTCTTTGTTAATTAAGGTCTTTGTATATTACCAGGACCTGGGTTTGTTTCAGTGTCATCACTGTAATTCCCATCAAAATGTAGCCTTGACAACCCCTCTACATTTACTACTGAGATTGGTAATGGTATGACCCATCTGTCACTGATCCAGATCAAGGTCATGACATCACTAAAAACCCTAGCATTACAATCTAAGCTAATTATTTATTCTGAGCATGCTCAGTTGTATTCTCAGTGCAGTAGGGAGAGGTAATTTTGGATGAAAATCTTAAAAAAGACCCACATAGGATTTTCTGGAAAAAAAAATTACATGCATATACAACAGAAACTTATTCATCAACCTGCCCAGTTTCATTGAAACCAGAAATAAGAAATAATAGTCGACTACAAACTGAACTAATTTGTGATGAAGAGAGAACTGGTGGTGAAAAGGTTAATATACATAGTTTTACCAGTACGTTTCAGAAGAATATGTCACATGTACAAATAACTACCTTTACAGTCTACAATGTGATTGGCTAAAATGCTAATGAATATGCATAATATTTCAACAGATACTTGAGTGAATTTACTGGACTCACTGACCTGGTATTCTTCTACTGAAGCCTGTTGTTGACTTCGTAGCCAACTAAACGTATCTTCCACATTCCATTTGACAAGTTTTCTGCTTTCTGATGACACATTCCTGTTAAAAATACAATTTTGTTATTATGTTTCATACCATGCCGACCAATCTGACCACTCGAGACAGAGGCCTGCCTAACAACAAGCAGAAGTGGTTGTTGCCACAGGAGAACAATTTTAAGCAGTATTTCTTTCGAGCATATCAGAAACAAATTTATTGTGTGTAAAGTCAGACTTTTATATATGTCACTCACATCAAAATACATTTTTTTAATTGTATAGAATAACCCCTCCTCCAATTTCATGATTTAAAAAAAAAAACAATAATTAAAGTGATTAATATATTTTATTGTTATGTAAATTAGTCAATTTGCTATTGTATTTACTAGCAAAGAATGCTCAATTAGAAAATACATGGAAGGAGCCAGTAGGATATGATGTTGTATGCATGTTTTACAATATGCAATGAGGATAGGAAGAGGACATGGAGAGCTAATGTTTACTATCCCAAACCAATGGAAACATTCAGGAAACTGGTCAAAATAAAAAAAAAGATTATTTCTGAAGTGCTTGCCATAAAGGCAGAAGTTTCCATTAAAACATTGTTGAATAGAAATGCTATTTACATGAAGAACGCAGTGGAATTCACATTCATGTTTGAGAATAATTTTTCTGAAAAGTGATATATAATATACTGTGGAATACTTTATTTTAGCTGGAATTAATTTTCGCTGAAAATGCTTTTTTGGGCGTTTTGTATGGATTTTATTTTCACTGATTTTTGATGAATTTAATGTGAAATATAGGAAAAAAAGTATATTCGCTGGATTTTATTTTCACGGAATCATCCCTTCAGCAAAAATAGCGAAAATAAAGTATTCTACAGTACCTTGAATCAATCCTTTTTTTAGCAGCTTCGGAATATCTGAAAAGTTGTTTTCTGGCCTCGGATGCGTATTTAGGTCGGTATAACTTGACTGGAATGTCACTTATAATTTCACGATACATGGAAGGCGAGACAACAGGAGAACAGTCACTAGGCAACAACGGGTCATTGCCCTTATCAATGACTTTCCTTTCCAGTAGCCACCTGTTGAATGACTCTTTTGGCGCATCAAGACCTGCAAGAAAAGAGTACGTAGATTACGGTACATACATTGGGTGTGAATTGGGTACCTCTATTGGATGTTTTTTCAAACAAAATATTAAACAAAATTTTCTAAAAAATATGATATGGGATTGGATGGAATGGGAGTGGTAAGCACAGGAAAAGTGTGGCTTTCTGCATCCTCTTCCAAGCCAAGTCAATTCTATCTCTGGCTGACCAACAGTTCACCAATGTTTTACGTAAAACTTACTACATGCTAGCTTGAAATATGAGTAAGAGGGTTGGGTATATTACTAAATTTTAGTATACAAATATACTAATATATTTCACTCCATCAAATCAGAGGAATCTTGTATCATATTTTTAGGATAGAGGCACATGTAAGCATTGGTTTGAGTGGAATATTTATAATATTATTTTAGTCATGTCATTCACACAGAATTGGTCGTTTTGCAGCAAATTTATGTCCTTAATGCTGCACACAATAACAATTATTTGAACCTTACCTTCTCTTGATTTACATAACTCTGCATAACTAATCCGCAGTCTATTACAGATATTTGACCGTTCATATTCTATCTCTGGTTGCGGAGGTAACACATTGATGGGTTTCCGTTCCATAAACAGAGCATTAGTGTTGATAGCAAAATCCCAATATTGACTATAAATAACAAATATAATACAAAAACAATTTAGTAAAATATATACACGCAATATACACATTACACGGCACACATAGTACTGTAAAATCTGTAATAGAAACCATGGCTTCTATTAAAATGGTACAATACAACAGAGGGAATGCGGCTTCTATTAGAGCATCTACACATATGAGAAATGATGACTTTTTTTTCTCATATATTTTCTCTTATATTAGAGATGCGGCTTCTAATACAGATTTTATGGTAGCACATTGTGTTGCGACAAATGTGGCAACGCTTTTAGAAGACATCATATAGACACTAGGTGGGCATTCTTGCACGCCAATATGAGGGATGTTTAAAGTGCGGATATTTGTCAGAAATCGCAATAAGGCAAAAATATGCATCAAGAGTGCAATAATTGTTGAAAACAAGCAGCCA